GCCGGAGCCGGCCTCGGGCGGGGCCGGGGGGATACGCGCTGTGTCGCCGGGCTGTCACCGGCGCCCGCATCCCGCCGCGGCGATCGGCGGGTCGAGAGACCTCGGAGCACGTTGGAGGAGCAGTGTGGGGGACGCGTCCCCGAGGATCCCCAAGCAGGGAACGGGCCGAGATACGAAGAGGTTTCGGAAGCCCAGCTGACAGCTGCTTTAGCAATTACTGGCCAAGGTTGTTCAACATGGGAAGTTCCCGGTGTTGCGTGAGTTGTCACCGTAGGGTACAGCAGTGTGGTCGCTGGCACTGTCATTTCCACGGGATACCCGCGGCTTCCACCGCGAACCCGGGGGGAAATGTGTTGCAGATCCAGTGATAGGAAACGCCTTGGGATTATCTCTAATCCTAAAGTTGAAATGCCTCCGCGTTCTCAGATCTATTTATTTTGAAACAGTCTGTGTAAATTATAAAGGAAGGGGAACCAGTTAAATACCTATTTTTAAGTAAGTCAACTGTTTATTAAAAACATATGCAGAAGTAGGCCGTTAAAAATCTTGGGCACTGATCTGTTTCAATTTCTCCAATCCTTATACAAAGGCTTTCCTGGAGATTAGCTCAGAACTGGCAGGACATAAGGCTTTATTGGTGCCAAGTGGCTTAAAAGCAAAATGAGATAGTGTTGACTGTGTAAAGATGAAGACGTGTTAACTGATCTTGTTGAGAAAAGTGTTAAAATTGGGTTAAAAGCAAAAATATATGAGGATTTGAAATGTTTCCCCAGACATTTTTTTAGACAAGGGGAGAAATGTTTTACCACTTAATCTTTTATAACTGATGGAAGCACTAACTAAATTTCTAAAGCTCCACAGACAGCTTGAAGCAGGCCGAGCTTAACTATTCAGGGAATGTGTTCTATTTTAGAGATAGGCAAGGTGTTAACAATGAAGGAAAACCGGAGTGGTAAGTGTATTCAGGGAAGGAAAATTAGTTCGAAGTAGGACGCCTTTAAAGGTCTTCATCTCATTGTTTCCATAGTCATCGTTAAGAATTTGTAGTTAGAACAGTGTCTGAACTGAGCAGAGCTGGAAAAGTGGAAATCGCTGGGTCTGTATTCCGTGATGAATATTTAAAGAGAAGTCAAGGGAACAAAACTGTTCAGACAGGAAATAACTCCATAGTTGAAAGTTCATTTTACCGTCTCATATATTACTTCTTTAATCTCCAAGGAAAAGGGCTTAAATGTTGTTTGGAGATAAGAGTCCCACCAGTAGAGTGAATTTAAAAGGAAGATTTTAAAAAATCAAGATTACAATGTGTTTTTTTCCTATAGAAATTGTTTTAAAATGTGACATACTCTTCTGAGGTAGATTAGAGAAATAGTAGTCAATTAGGATATTTGGAAAACAATTTTATTTTCTGAAAAGCAGGCAGAACAATTGTAAACATATTAATTCAGTTTTTTGGTATTAGTAAATTTTCTTTAAACCAGATTTATGTTGTAAGAGTATTATTTCAGTCTAAAAAGGGAATGGTTGGTGAGATTAGTCATTTCCATCATAGTCCATAAGCGGTTTAGACTCTTTTCTCTATAATTTTAACGATATTGAAGTAATGTCTATTATCAAATAGGTGTGAAGACTTTCTCTATAATTGCTTAAGAGTTCTTAACACTACTTTCTGTCCTGGAATTTGTTGCTGACGTGTTGTAATATGCTGTGCCTTGGATATTGGCCCTTAGAACTAGTCGAGGCCTCAATTTCTAATCCATGTTCCTCTCATTACAGATGAAAAAATGAAGACTCAGTGAAGTAAAATGACTTGTGGCTAGTGTCAAGCTAGTTAAGAGTCTGGTTTGGCCTAGGGGTTTCTTTCTGTGAGATGCTACCTTACCTCTTTGAAAGAAGCTTTTTTGTTTTGTTTTTGTTTATTGCTGTGTAGTTTAGGCTGGCCTTGAACTCACTGTGTAGCCAGGCCTGCCTCAGCCTCCTGAGTGCTCTAATTACAGGCGTGCGCCACCCTCCAGAAGTAGCTTTATACAGTAGTGGAAAAAACATTGAAATGCACATGAGAGGGCCTGGGTTTAATTGTTGATTTGTCACTTCCTGACAGTGCTTTTGTGACAAATCACATTAACATTTAGAACCTGGATTTCTTAATCTGCAAAAAATAATTTCCCCCTACAATTTACAGGATTGTTGGAATAAATGTGAATACTACAATATGTAGAAACCACAGTGTGTACTATACTGTAAACCTTTTTTACGATTAAAAAGTAGTGATATGATTTCAAAGGAAATGCAATTTTGTTTTGTTTTGGTTTTTTGGTACCAGGGATCAAACTCGGGTCCTTGGGCTTGCACAGCAGGAGGTGAAACCACTGAGCTAAATCCCCGGCCCAGGAAACACGGTTTTTAAAAGCATAGCGAGGTGTTGTGATCCCTAGGTTTTTGCTTACTCTAGCTTTGTTTTTCAGCACCTACTATTTTGCAGATTATAACTCCCTGTCGATACATTTTCTGATCCCCACTTAGTTCTAATCTTAGTAAAGCTGCTTAGAAACATTTTAAATATTGTAGTTGTTAAAGCCTCCTTTCCCCAGAAGAATATAAATTTTCTTCATATAGCATTTGAAAACATTTTTGTATACCCTCATGCATGCATGATCTGTTTCTGTTTAACAAACAGTAGCTTTTTAAAAGTAATAGTGAAAGTATCTTAGCAGTGTTCATTCGCCTCTTGCTAGTTTCCAGATATGGCAATAGCAGGAAATAAGTTCCTTTATAAACTTAGTTAATGTCATCTGGTAGATCTAAAGCATAGAAATGCTTAAAAGCGGTTTTATTTGCCTTTGATGTTAAGTTTAAAATTTTTTCTAGTGTTTTTTATTGGTAATACTGGAAATCAATATATCATAGTATTACATAGGTTATCAGTATAACCTTGAAAATAAAGGTGTTTATAATCATAGATTAAGTTGCTGAGCACTTACAGTCTGTTGGTCTGTATTCAAGAGTTTTTAAGTGTGTTGTTCAGGTAATTTTTATAAACCTGTAAAATAGATAATATTGTTGGTCTAACTATGGCAGAGGAAACTGGGGAAACTGGCCCAGGTAAATAGTAGCAGATTCCATTGTCCCCGTTCCTAAACCATTTCTGGGTGCTCGGCCTCTGATTAAAGTGGTGAGATGGTTCAGAAAAGTCTTAAGGCAGTGTTTCTTTAATTCCAGACCCATGAAAAGTGCTTGGGAGCCACTATTCCACCTTGTAGTGGGTAGTCAGAAAAGAAAAAATTAGTATTTTAGGAGCATCACAGGAAATCTGCCACCAAACCTTTTTATGAGATGCCGATAAGAGTTGTTTCTCTGTTATTGTTTTTATATTAGTTGTCAGAAGCAAATTATTCTCACCAGCTATAAAAGCCCTAGTTGTTAATGTTACATTTGGCTATCCTGGCAAACTACACCTTTATGTTCATGTCATTCTAAAGAGACAGTTACAGTGATGGAAGGAAAAAAGGTAACTAACAGAACTCATTTAGCATTTTAAAAAATAAATAGGACAGCAGTAGAAAATTTGAGTTTGTCCAGGCTAGAGTAACATCCAAGAAAGACTAGGTTTCTTTCGTATTGAAACCCTCCAGAATTCTACCTAAGCATGGTGGTAGATGCCTGAAATCCTAGCACTGTGGGAGGCTGATGCAGGATGATCATGAGTTTAAGCCCAGCCAGCACAATGTAACGAGATCTTTTCTCAAAAGATAGGATTGGGGATGATTCTTAGTGCCTATTAGGCCCAGGGTTCAATCCCCAGTACAAATTCAAAAAAAAAAAAAAAAGATTGGAATACAGAAATGCTCCAAATTGAGATGAGGAAATTAAGCTGCTACAAGTTACAGGTGGAAGTGACTTCTTTTCCTTTGCCATTTAAAAATACTGAAAAACTTTAAAACGACATCATCTTTGGGCAGTCTCTCAACACCTGTTTATTGTACTAAAATTGATTTAAAATATATGCTGTAGTAGTTTATCCTTTTGGTTATCAGTTTGTATTTAGGCCACAGTTGGCAGTATCACAAATATGAGCAATAAGTACATTTTTCTAACTACCTTATTTTCTGAAAGAGTTGAAAGTACATCCCATTGCTTCGGCAATTTCTTCTTCCTTCTGTGTAGGAGTTTTCTCAGCATTCTGACTTCCAATAGAGAACGAAAAGCATGTTTGGCTCTTTTCTGTC